AGACTATTATTATGTTATCTTATTTACTCTTTAAATTGTATCTATTTATTATTTATTTTATTCTATATTATTTTCTTTTATTATTAAGAWTGTCAAATTTAACTGTTTATACAAATCCTATATTTGCTTAAAAGGGCTCCTACCCATATATTCAATAAATAAAAATAAAAACATTCAGAACATGGTGGCAACGTTGTATTTGGTTGTAATGTAGTTAATAAAATTATAATACTGATACTGCTACATATAAAATAAATTATCAATCAGATAGTTAAATGATATACTCTATAAAACTTATTTATTAATGTCTGGCCATTTGTCTTTAATTTAAAAATTCAATATTCATGGTTGATAAATCTTATGTCTTGATATATTACATAGATATAAGTTTGTTTAGTATGTGATCTAATGATGTAATAAGGGTAAGTTTTTCTTCTAATGTTTGAAATTGTATTTATGGTTTCAAGTTTATTCCTTATGTATGTTTTTAACTTATTTTAAAAATATGTTAGAAATTAATTTTAACGGGTCTGTCAAAATATTTAATACTAGTTTCATTTTTAGTTTTTACAAAAAAAAAAAGTATCAACTATATAATAAAATGTGTTATAACATTTAAGACTTAACGATTAAAGAGTCTTAGAAAATCATCTTATTTATGAATGTTAATTTACTTATCATCTTATAATGTACTCTTATGCAAAAAAAGTAAACTAAGCTACGGATAAAAATGTTAACACTGCTATAAATTTAACACACCAATAACATGCTCTAATAAAACTACATTTAACTTTAAAATATTAAAGTATTTCCCATTATTTCTGAAAATTAAATTGAATTTCATATTTCTATAGATGCCTATAATTTATTTGACTTAAATGCGTTTTTAGAGTTATATAAGTGCCTTAAATATAACTCATAAACTCTTAGAAAGAGCAAGAAAATACTTTTAGTTATGTTGTGACTCAACTGTAACTTATAAACTATAATTCAACAACACCTCAATAAAWTAATTTATATTTATCATCTTATCTAGATTGCATACAAGTTAGCCTAGTTCTAAATTAACTTGATATCTCTGCTTGGGGGCGATTTAAATGTATACTTGATGCACTACCAGTATTCGAAGGGGGAGGGGTTCATTTTTCATCATTTACTAAGTGTGATATACAGCTTCATTCAATGTCAGCTTGATACTTAAACGGCCCCAGATGCATTTCTTCAGAAGAACCCCCAAAAATGTTGTTTCATAAAAAATGATAAAAAAAAATTGTTATAAGTAGTAAAATMTCATATCTTTTGTAATATCGGGGCCCCACGACACAAATACTGCTGGGGTTTCGAATGCGTTTGCAGCTATGGCCAAGCTGAAACAGCTGTACAGCTTTAATTTTTTATAATGAAGTCAATAATAATAACTTTAATTAAAATTAATATTTTTGTTATCAGTTAACACCAATACTTATAAATGCCAAATGGGCGGGTATCTATATGACTTGCACCACTGTCCATTATACATAATACTTTCAAATTCTTTCTATCTCTTGATCAAAAAATATTTTTATACCATAGATTTTTAAACAAGGTTAATTGTAGTAGTATCCTCTGATGGTGAACATTGTATTTTTTATTAAAATGTGTTGTTATACAATAAAACATAACTAAATAGAAATAATTAATTGTTAATGCTAAAAATATTACTCAACAAATATTTTTTAGCTGTTGTTTACTTGTAAATAATATTTAAAAAATTATCTTGTATGATCATTAAACTGTAGAAATAAAAAAAGTATTCTATTTTTAGTTTTTATAATTTAAAAATCATATAAAAACATAAAATAAAGATTAAGGTAGAATATTTTCTTTACAATATTCATTAATTGGGAAAATACCATAACTTATTTAAAATTGACAATTTGTCAATAACTTTAATTATACAAATACTTGGTAAATTAATAAACTAACCTAACGCTACCAAAAAATAACACACTACTTACAAATTATTGACGCAGTTATTTTACTAATGATCTTATACATTTAACATTTATAATTGGTATTTGATACTAATAGTAATTTAATGCAATAATACTTAACATAAATAAAATCATTTTATTAACTATGCTTTAGGTATTTACTTAAGATCTATTAGAATACAGTTAGCCTTAAAAAAACACATCATTGTAAAAATAATGCATTCATCACTCAGAATTTTAAAATATTGTATTAATCATTAGAAGCGGACTGCATAACAATATTTAAATATTGAACATACATCACACTATCTAGTATGCTATGCCAATCATCATATTATT